CTCTTCCCGGGTGAGGCAGATCAGTCGCCGGCTTCTGGACAGCTGCTCATGGCGGCTGCTGGCCGCTCACGCTGGCTGCTGGCTACACACAGTAGCCCATGGCAACCCACTGCCACAGGGGCTGCAGCCTATGCCACGGCATCCCAGCTCCAGGTTGAGCTGTTGTTCAACATCTTAGCTGTAGAGGGCAGTGTCACTGGCCCTATGTGGGATCCGAACCGGGGTCCTCTGGCGACCCAAGCCAGCTCTTAACCATCACGCCACTCGGCCGGCCCTGACCTTTTGAGGAACTGCCAGACTCCCACAGCAGCTGCACCATTTCCATTCCCACCAGCAGTGTGAGAGGTTCCAGTTTCTCCACATGTTCACCAACACTTGTTATTCCTTGTCTTCTTTATTTGAGCCATCCTAATGGGTATGGAGGCGGACCTGATTGTGGTTTTGATTTGAATTACCCTAGAGAATATTTAAGCCCTGTGACCTCAGGCAGTCTGACAGCAGAGTGCCCCCACCCCTGCTGAAATACCTGCACCCCAGGTAGTGCTGCTTTGGTGGAGACTTGGCTTTGAGTCCTGGCTCAGTCCCAGCCCTTGGCTGTGCTGGGTGATCCTAAGCAAGTGCTGTGTCCTCTTTGCACCTCAGTTTCCCTCTTTCTTCAATGGGGCTACTACCTTCCAGGGTGGCCACGTGGCTCCAATCCAGAAACTCTTTTCCTTTCCCCAAGGATGCCAGTGGGGGTGACTCCTGTACCTCCGAGGAAGAACCGACCTTTGACCCCGGCTATGAACCTGACTGGGCTGTCATTAGCGCTGTGCGGCCGCGGCCCCGCCACTCAGAGCCCATGAAAGGTAGGCCGAGCTGGTGCCCATGGGGGGCAGGTGGAGGTACATCTTACCCTCAGTGATAATGGCTCCCCAGTCAAGATGGCTGCCCAGCACTGGCTTCCAGTCCCAGGAGAGTGGAAGGGGGTGCATACTATCCCCAGCACAGGTCCACATGGCTTGCATCTCCAGGGTTTGCAGACTTGCTCATCCCACTGGACTCCTTTATGGGCTGTGCGTACCCCCACAGGAGACCAGGCCATGGAGGCGACAGTTACAGGGTGATTCAGTCCATCTTGGAGTCACACAGGGTGCTGGGAGTACCAGAGGAGGCATCTGACCGCTCTTGGGGTTGGAGAAGCCTTCCAGGAAGAGGTGATGCCACAGCCTGGCTCTGAGGGATGCTTGGGAATTTTCCCTCCTGGCAGAGAGAACAGCCCTTGCAAGGCCAGTGACTAGGGGTCCTGGGTGTGTTTAGGAAACCACAGCCTTTTGTTGTGGCTCCAGTGTGGAGTCTGGAGTGAAGAGAGGATTGTAGGGGAGACAGGTAAGGGACCGGGGACAGACATGAGGAATCTAGTCTTCATCCTGAGGGCCACAGGAAGCCAATTTTGGAGCGGGCACATGTCCACTGGGCTCCCTTCCCATTTTACTCAATTGTGTTTCTAAAGAAATGTGAGGTGACCCGGAGCTCCCAGAGGACAGGGCCTGGGGCTGGCTCGTCGTGGGCTCTTAGGAGATGACTGTGTCCTTCTGGCTTCCCATGATCTCTCTGCCATCCCCTAGGTGCAGAGCCCAGCTCCCCCCGGGATGCCTGGGCCTTCTCGGTGAGTCTGGGGGAGCTCAAGTCCATACGCCGGTCCAAGCCGGGCCTCAGCTGGGCCTACCTGGTCCTGGTGACTCAGGCTGGAGGTTCCCTGCCCGCTCTACACTTCCACCGAGGGGGTATCCGCACCCTGCTCCGAGTCCTCAGCCGCTACCTGCTGTTGGCCAGGTGAGCCCTCTCCCAGCGCCGGGCTTTTGTCCCTCCCACAGCCCCTGCTGGCCCTTTGGGGCCGTGAAAGAAACAACACAGACTGATTTAAAGGCAGCAAGAGGGAATTGACTGGCATGTGTAACCGCAAAGTCAAAGGGTCGTTTGATTTTAGGCAGGCCCCAAGTCTCAGGATGTTAGAGTCCCTCTGTTTCCCTCTGAGCTTAGATCATTCTCAGGGGGCCCCCAGCAGTCCTGGCTTATTAGCAGCCCCCATGGGTAGGAAGCACCTTTCCCCACATTCCAGCAGCATTCCTGGGCTGCTGCCTCCCCTTGGCCCCTCCCTGAACCTCTCACCCTGGCCAGGGAGGTGGAAGGCCCTCATCGGCCAGCCCTGGGGTCCAGCTGTGGTGCCCGGACCAAGATGAGGTATCCCAAGGGCAGTTGGGACCCTGCCTTGGAAGGGGGTGGGAACAGATGCGGGGCTCTGTGCTGCATATCAGCAGACCACCTCCCCCCAGCTCCCCACAGGACTCCCGCCTCTACCTGGTCTTCCCCCACGACTCCTCCGCCCTCTCCAACTCCTTCCACCACCTCCAGCTCTTTGACCAGGACAGCTCCAACGTGGTGTCTGTGAGTCCCCAGCACCAGGTCTGGTAGACGTGGGCAGGGAGGGGGGACTGCAGCGGGCGAGGCAGGAAGGGGTGAAACTGTGACCACCCTCTGCCCTGTCCCCAGCGCTTCCTCCAGGACCCCTACTCCACTACCTTTAGCAGCTTCTCCCGTGTGACCAACTTCTTCCGGGGAGCCCTGCAGCCACACCCAGAGGGGGCCTCCCCTGACCTTCTTCCAGCCCCTGATGACGAGCCTGAGCCTGGATTCGAGGTCATATCCTGTGTGAGTATCAGAGTGTCCCTGCTCCCACTTTCTAGCTGTCACCTTGGGCATGTGACTGCATTTCCCTGGGCTTCATTTTCCTCCTCGGAAAAGTGGGGATGATAATGGCATCACCCTCATTGGGTTGCATGAATGACCTTGCCGAAAGGGCTTATAGCTGTGCTCCTGGTGCCCGCTGTTATTGGGGGGCCCTTCATGACTTAGGGGTGACTTTGTCACTGACCTAAGTAAGGAGATGCTTTCAACCCTGAACATTAACTCTCTGTCCTTTGAGCTAAGAAGGGCTCTGAGGTGACTGAGGTGGTCTGGGATGAAGCTGGGGAGCACTGTTGGGTCCCCACAAATGAGAGCCCGGCAGGCCTGGTCGAGCCCCTGATCTCGCTTGCCTTGTGTCCTGCAGGTGGAGCTGGGTCCCCGGCCAGCTGTGGAGCGGGCACTTCCCGTCACAGAGGAGGAGTGGGCCCACCATGTGGGCCCTGAGGGCCGCCTGCAACAAGTCCCCATGCTGAGAGCCCGGATCTTCTCAGGGGTGAGGTGCTGAGTGGGTGGGGAGGACTGGGCAGGACTGGCAGGCAGCCAGGGGGACCCTTCTGAGCTGCCTGCCTGCTCTGCCCCCCAGGGTCTGAGCCCCAGCCTGAGGCGCGAGGCCTGGAAGTTCCTCCTGGGGTACCTCAGCTGGGAGGGCTCAGTTGAGGAGCACAAGGCCCACGTGCGCAAGAAAACGTGAGTGAGCAGCTACGGCCCCGCCCTGCCAGGCTCCAGCCTCTGACCTCCTGGCCTCCCAAGTTGATGGGAGGTTTTTGATCAACCTGTCCCGGTGGCCAGCAAGACACCCGGCATGTCCCGGTCCACATATGGGCTTGCTCCCCAGACAGTTGTGACCCTGCCACATGCTGGGCACCGACCTGCACACGACAAAGATGGAGGGAAGGGACCAAGTCTGTCCCCGCCCCCCCCCCCAATCTCCATTGCTGTGTTCATCGTGGCGTCATACCGTTTCAGTGTTTACCGCTTTGCCTCCTAAACTGTGGGACCCACCTCTCCTCATTCCTCGTATATATTGTGCCCCTGCTCTGTGTCCTGGTCCCCAGCCCCAGTGCTCTCTGTCCAGTAGTGGTGACAGGCATTCAACAAAAGCCCACAGGGTATCTGTCCTCTGTCCTGAGAGATGTCATGAGTGGAAGCATGGGGCGGGGGCAGGATGACCAGGTGGCCCCTCTTGGGTCTGTGTGGTCAGAGAGGGGCTCTGAGGTGCTAACTGGGGCTGAGCCCTGAAGGCTGAGGAGGTGGTCTCTCCACCCCTCAGGGACGAGTATTTCCGAATGAAGCTGCAGTGGAAATCGGTGAGCCCTGAGCAGGAGCGGAGGAACTCACTGCTGCATGGATACCGCAGCCTCATCGGTGGGTGGTGTGGGAGGGAGCCCCTGCCTCCCCAAGAGCAGGGATCATGTCATCTGCAGGGAGATGGGGGTGAGCAGGGGTGGTAGTGGCCAAGGGTGGGCAGGGGGAGGGAGGGAGGCGAGCCAGGCTCCTTGAGTTCAAATCCCGGCTGCCATCTATTTACTGCACCACGAGATCCCGGCAAATGATTTTAGCCCTGGGCCTCAGTTTCCCTATCTGTGGATGGTTAGTAATTGTCAGTTGCTGGGAACACAGCACCTCACTCCACAGAGTGTTTGGATGGTTTCAGGACCGGTGCACACCTGTTGGGATGAGAAGAGTTGGGGCTAATGCCAGTGGCCAGCAGGACAGGACCCTAGCACCTTTCTCATCTTGCATCCCACACCCTGTCCCCGCAGAGAGAGATGTAAGCCGCACAGACAGGAGCAACAAGTTCTATGAGGGACCGGACAACCCGGGGCTGGGCCTGCTGAACGACATCCTTCTCACCTACTGCATGTACCACTTCGACCTTGGTGCGGCGCCAGGGGGCGGGGCCAGGGGCGGGGCCTGCCGTTGGAGGGTGCTGAGGGCTTGGGCCAGTCCCTGACCCCATGTCCCCCCAGGCTATGTCCAGGGCATGAGTGACCTTCTCTCCCCGATCCTCTACGTCATTCAGAACGAGGTGGATGCCTTCTGGTGTTTCTGTGGCTTCATGGAGCTTGTGGTGAGGCTCAGGGTGGGGGTGGGAGACAAGCCCCCTTCAAAGGATGGGGGTCCAGCCCTTCATGTGGTCCTCCCCCCCGCAGCATGGGAACTTTGAGGAGAGTCAGGAGACGATGAAGCGGCAACTCGGGCAGCTCCTGTTGCTCCTCCGGGTGCTGGACCCCCCACTCTGCGATTTCCTGGGTATGTGTCTTGGTGGGCAGGGGACAGCGGGGCCACAGATGTTGCCAAAGTCTGTAGGAGTGAGTGGCCACAGACAGTGTCCAGGACATTTGGTCCTGATCCAGACGAGAGGAGCATTCTGCATAACCCAGAACCCAAAATTAACCTGTAAAAGCAGGATTGCGGTTTGGGGCAAAACCTTAGCAGATGCAGGTGTGTGCCGCCTGCTCCATGAGATGCTCTCGCATGTTCCCATCAGTCTAGTACTTCTCAGATGAAGGACCTGGGCATGCACCTCTGAGCACTTCTTATCTCCACCCAGCTCTTATCTCCACTCGCCAGGGTTTGGAAACTGGTTCTCTGGGCTCCTGGCGCTGGGACTGCTACATTCCAGCTTTAAAATGTTTCTTTATTACTTGTTCAATGTAACAAATGCAGGAAATCCAGATTAAAAAAACGTAAGAGTTACTGTTGATAGTAATATTCCTTTAAGTGCAGATGATGATAAGTTAACTTATTTGTGGGCATTTCTTCACTGAAAATGTAGGCTTTCCCTGGGGGAGGGAGACATACTGGCCTCACTTCACTGAAGAGGAAAGCACATGCCACTCCCGGGGACTTGCTACTCCAGGGGACACTCAGATATTAGCTGCCTCCCTATGTCATTAAAAGTTCTCTAAACCATCACTTTTTTTGACTGCACAGTGTTCTGTCCATCTTAAGCATTTATAAGAATAGATCTGACCTGACCTGCTGACCTTTAGGTTATTTGTAGCTTTTCACTGTAATGAATATAGTCTGGGTAATTTTTTTAGGTTACATTCCAAGAAATGAAATTGTATCTAGAGCAGTACATATTTTTACAGCTTTTGAAATGACTGTCGCCATTGTTGCTTTCCTGGAAAGTTCTACCAAGTTCCATTTTTGCTAGCAGCATACACAGGTGTCAGTTTCCTCAGGCCTCCACCAGCACTGGGCAGTGAATAGATTTTATTTTTTCTTTGAGTGGACTGGTCTTACTGCATCCCTCCATGTGAGTGGAAAACATGGGACAGCTCACCTCGTGTGGGGCTGGAAAGGCAGGATGGGAAGGGTTCCTGTTGACACAGAGCATTCCTGTCCCCACTCAGAGGCCTTCCCATGCTGGGCATAAGTTACTTGCCTAGAGTGGTGAAGGGTCTCACAGGGTGACTTCTTAGAGCCTCAGTCTGACTACCAGGCACAGTGTGAATCAGAATAGGATTGGCATTGATTTTGAGTTTGCTCTTTGCTTCCACTGTGCTCCTGTAGATTCTCAGGACTCTGGCTCTCTCTGCTTTTGCTTCCGGTGGCTGCTCATCTGGTTCAAGAGGGAATTCCCGTTCTTGGATGTCCTTCGACTGTGGGAGGTGGGCCAGCCAGCTTGGGTGGCAGGGCTGTGGGAGGTGGGCAGGGGCAGACCTGGGTGGGACCTCAGGCACAGGCTGGGCCATGACCCCTCCCTCCTCCGGTACCCTTAGGTGCTGTGGACAGGGCTCCCTGGCCCCAATCTGCACCTGCTGGTGGCCTGCGCCATCCTGGACATGGAGCGGGACACCCTCATGCTTTCGGGCTTCGGCTCCAATGAGATCCTCAAGGTGAGGCCCTGGCCCCTCCCAGTCTCCACCTTTTACCTCCCTCCTGACCTGTGCAGACCAGACACAGCTGGGTGTGAACTCCGTGGAGGCTGGCACTGTGCCTGTGCCACAGTACCTTGCAGTAGTTCGTATTCAAAATAGGATTGTTGAAAGTATGGTTAGCTAACCTCTGAGCATGGTGGACATTAGATGGGCTTTGTTTTCTCCTACCCCATTCTATATATGGTGCCTGTATATGTCCGTCTCCCAGCAGTGTCTTCACAGAGCATGTGGCCCCTGCATGAGTGGGGGTCCTAACACTCCCTCAGTATCTTAATGCTGGATGGGGCCACAGGGGTGGAGCCGGGTGCCCTTTCCCTTCCTGGTATCCTGCCACCTGGCAAGCAGCCTGGGAGGGTGTGACCTCCCCTGATCCCTCAGCTCCACTATGAGCCCCAGGAGGGCCAGTTGTGTGTGTCTTTTCTCCATTGTGTCCCCAGAACGAGGCAGAGTAGGTGCTGGGGTGGGGGTGGGGGTTGAGTGTGTGCAGGCAGGCAGGCCTGACCCACCCCCATCC